GTTCGGTCATGTTCAGTTCGTTTTAGCTCAAAATAAAGAAATTACATATATTATTTACATAATAATATATTATATATATTTATATCTAAATTTAAATCATTACAACTTGTTTGGTCATGTGGTTATGCGTCTTCTATTGCATAGAGTTGGTGCATGATCGAATCCAACACCAAATATATATTTTTTTTTTCCAATTAATTTAAACGGTCAATTTTGAGTTAAACACAAACCGAACACGAACAAGAATACTTAAATCGAGTTGAACACGAACACACTGTTCACGAGTCAATTTCAAATACGAGTCGATTTCGAACACGAGCAATTTTGAATAAACCGAACATGAACCAAGTCTGAGCTCGCTCAAGTTCGGCTCGTTTACAGCCCTACGTGCATCCTACCATCCATTACAGCCCTACGTACATCCTTCAATCAAGTTCATTAAAGCATGAAGCATACGACAGAAGAAAACAGAGAAGCTCAATCTCACTGTCGAATGAGTGCCAACAAATCAAATGTAACATCAACTAAATTTGGTCTATATGATATAAGTATGTATATTTCATACTTTGTGTCGACATCTGTGACTTTTTCTCGGAGATCAACAAAGTTAAACTCTTAGTGTGACATCCAAATAAGCTTTTGGCAATCCATATGATCAATTAGTTTGAAACAAACATGGTTCACTTTAGGCGCGCATCAAATTTGTTAAGGGGGCATTTATTGAAAATAAAAAAAATAAAAAAATAAACAAATTTGCACCTGCCCCAGCAAAGTTCACTTTATAATTGCTCCCCATATTTCTTCACTATTAGAAACGATTTCGAAAACCGATATGGGTCCTCAGTTACCGAAAAATCCAACAAAAACAAATTACCCAACTCATCTCATTCCCCACTCGAGTCAAAGCTCCTTCTTCCCTCTCGTGATTGTGGTTTTTGCTTGCAATACAATCGTGATTATGGCTAGCCAAAAAAGTAGCCACAGAGTTCGAACAAGATGTTCATCAAGCTCCTGGTATTGACAAGTATGTTGTTGATTCGAAATTTGACAATGAGGGTGTTGACACCGGTTGCGTCGTTATAAGGATTGCCTCTAGCAAACAAATTCTTGTATGTAAACGTAATAGGGGATGCATACGACCAGCTGCTGAGACGAGGCAGTCATGCATAGATCACAAGGATGAAGCCAAGTGAGAGTCGTTCGTCAGGAAGCTACAATTTTGTATCCTCCCAGAATAGTCGAGACAACTCCCGCGAAGCGTATGGGATGAGCTCGTGTCGGCTCATTATGGTCTTCTTCTGTCGAAGCCTTTCCTTGCCACTGAATGACTACTCCGAGCACAATTAACTCCTTCAGTTTCCAACTATGATGAACTCTTTGATCAGAATTCAGAGGTGTTGGCACTCTTCCGTGTCATGCTTGTGATCCTGGTAGTAAGCGCAAAACCTATTCAGGTGGCGGGCATATCCTCAGCTTTCATGGGTGCAGGCTTTTAAGAGAATTCCTTATTCAGGATGGCCACCACTAGTTCCACCATTGAAACCCTCAATGAAGTCAGTTAGGGATTCTCGTGGGTAAAAAGCGGTGATCTCTTAGGATAGTGATCTGCTCGTCACTCCTGATTCTGAACCCTTCCTACACTCGGGCACATTGCCTTCCGCGGCATGCGCGGATGATCACTGGCTCCAGGTCCCGAAATTCCTACATTTCATTTTGGAAGAGAGTTATGAAGACGCGCAGGGACTCTCCATCTCCTTGTTGTAGTTGTAGTAACGTCTTGGAGTTCTTTTAAGGCTTTTGTGCACAGGCGAACAGTGCTACATATTGTCTTGAATTCTGCAAATGAGGTTATCACACCCAACGACGGGATATTGAACGTCTTGGAGTTCAGCTCATGAAATCAACCTTTCTACACGTGCCTTACTCTAAATCGCCAGATTTATAGAAGATTTGATCAAGCATCTTTTTGTTGTACAGGTAGTAAGATTTAAATTGAGAAGATTCCAGAGAATGGTGCTCACACTGATGACGGAAAAAAAAAACTTAAAAAATAATCAACTGCTAGTTTGTTGATACCCTTCTCCAATCAACTGAAGTAATTTTTTATAATTTTAGGGCGCTGAAGAAGGATCAGTTAAGATTAGAAAATAACTGGTTGGGATTAGAATAAAAATTGAATGCACAAAGCAATTTAGTCCAAAGATTTGTGGAGAGAAAGGTGAGAAGATAAAAGTGTGGGCTGTGAAATACAAATAAGAGAGGATAAAGAGGACAGCCAGGAGGTCCGTGCCACAAACTCACCCATCGACACTGAAGAGAAGGATAAGGAAGATAAGCAGGAAGTCCTTGCCATTGATTTTGCCATTCATTCAAACTTAAGATGATGTGGTGCAAAAGACGGGAGATGTTTGTCCATCCCTTGATATTATATATGCAGATACTAGGACACGAGAGGAAGCATGCGTTAACTCATCTCTTGTCATTATGACTAGAGATTATGTAAAGTAAAATAGATTATTAAAGAAGAACAACAAAGAATATGAAGTTTAAGGCTTAAATATTTCATAATCCATCAGGCTAGAGGCACAAACTATTAGATCCACACACCATTGATCGCTCTGCTCAATCAATACAGTGGCTGTCTTTTCTCAAGGTTTGTTTAGAAAAAATAGAATACAACTCCAATGCGAGGAAAATACGAATAGGCGGTGGAAGTCCATTATGATTTCTACAGTGAAATACACCCACGCCGTTGCTGGATGGCAATGTAATTATTCAATTAGTCTATTGATACAATAATTTTTTTACCATATAAGTCTATTGATTCAATAATTTTTTTACCGCATAATAGTAATGTGTTGCTCACTGCAAGTTTACTCCTTTTGCTTCACAAAGATACTTCATGTTATCCAATAAATGAGTAGATATGATATTACCGAAAGACTTACGGATCAGTTATTTCTGTAAGAAGAAGTAAACGGTCAATGCTATAATGCAGTTATCTTTAGGCATGATAAAATGGCCTGAATCGAGTAGATCATGAGCGATTCTAGAATTCTTCGATTTGAGGCACATTTCATATAATTATCCAATAATTAGACCAAACTTCATTAGATATTATGTGAGATCTCGCTGCCTATAAAGACCATGACATTATATGATTGAGCCATCGTGTTGAAGTACAAAACTTGCAAGGAAGATGAATTTTGTTTTGTAAGTTTTTCCTAAATTGCTTTAGTTATCTGGGTCATTTAACCATAGAAAACAAAAACTCTCATCCAAAGCCTATTGGAAGTGGAGAAGATCAACACATGATATTTCGAAGGCTGTTGTAAGGTATGTCATTTGAAATTTTAACAGGAAATTAAGTGGTACTTAAATAAACTAATGAGTGCACTGTCTTATTTACTACAAAGACTATAATATATTTGATAGAACAAATCATGTACTTGGCTTCAAAAATCTTCTGTAAGTTACACAAACATATACCATTCTATAGAAATCAACGGTGCAGATTTAACTTTTTGCAATGTAAATCCATAGGTCTATTGGGTAGATAGTAAGACTTTCTGTGCATTTAATTATCCTTGACTATTCTTTTAATTATGTAAATGATATGCATTTAATTCTTTTTATCTATTTATTTATTTCCATGAATGATTTATACCATGTTTTTAAAAACACATTTCATGTACAAAGTGAAGTGAAGCATGCTTTGAAGCGCTGAAGCAAAGCGGTAGGTCCGGTTCATAATTTAGTGAGAGGGAATAAAGAGCTATTGAATTAATTTAGAATGTTTTATGAAAAATGAACTTTATTAGTTTATTTATTCTTTAAATTTTAGACTTTGTTTTGAGTCACAATACCTTTTTTTGTAATTTTTAAGTTTTTAATTGTAACAACAAACTATTAAAAATTATTCAAAATTTTAATTTGTTGGTTCACCTTAGTGTTTGCCTTCAAGTTAGATATTGCACCACATTTTTTCTTATCAACTTTTAAGTCAAACTTTATATTTTATAATTGTCAATGAAAGTGTTTATACATTGATAGTTTTATATAACCTATTAGCAATATAGATAATAGAAGTGCAGCTTCGTTCTGCACTTACTTCAAAGCCAAAAAAAACTTACGCATTGCATTGCACATTGCGCATTACGCTTTGATAACACTGAATTACACTTAGTTATGTTATCTTATACGTGTAATGATGTCTTTATAATTTATCAACCTGCCTGTTATGTTATAATTGTTGGGATTGTAATTTAATAGGGCAAAGTTATGGTCTAGTCACTAATGTATCATAGCTATAGTGATTGCACTCTATTGTATCAAGCCTATATTCTAATGTAATCTAATGTATCAAACTGACATTCTATTATATTATAACTATTGTGATTGTAATCTACTCCATCAAATATATAGTTAAGAGTGTTATAGCTTCTTCGAATCATGCTTCAGCCTTATTTGAACCATATTGCACTTTGTTCGAGCATTTTTTCAACCTTGTTCAAACTTTATTTGACCCACATCTCAAACCTTGTTTGGCCCATGTTCAAATCATTTTTAACAAGTTTGAATCTTAACAATATTGTTTAAATCTTATTCGAACTTTCATTTAAATTTTGTTTCAATTTTATATTCAAATAGGTTAGAATTTAAAGTTGTTCAAATTTTAAATCCGAACCTTTTTCGATCCAAGTTCGAACAAATTTTCCTTTTTTGTAGACTTTAATAAGTAGTCCACATATAAAAGAGGATTATTTTGGTCAGAAATAAACTTTCGGACATATTTCTATAAATAATAAAATAACAGATATTTAACCAATTATGGCTGTTGAGACATAATAATATTTGACATAAATATTTAATAACGCCACAAAAAGGAGAGAATGCACAACTTTAGGCTATGGCATGTTACAAAAGCAATTTTCTAGTCACTACGTGCGTTAATGGATGTTGTTAATATGTATGAATAAGCTCATTCAAAAGAGCAAAACCTTGATGTTTTCGCAGGATGATATACAATTTGTGATGTACATGTGGACAAACTCTGTTGGCAGTTCAACTGCAGTCGTAAGCCTATTCACAACTTCCATGGAATGAAGACTCATGTCCATATTCACAAGGACAGTGAAATACCTGCATCACCAAGACAAAATGAGTATTTGGAAGAGCACAATAAAACAAATCACAGAATATCAAACAAATATAACACTCACTCTGGGATATCAGGAGAATTCATCAATTTTATAAGACATTCTACTGCAATGAGAGGGTTGTGCTCCACAAGTTCCTAAGGATAAGATGGCAGCTCTTCAGTTAAAGCAATATCATTTTCTCTCATGTTTAGAACGTTAAAGATGGCAGGGCTAGCGGCTAAAAATTGAATACCGGTAGTTTGCGCGGAGTAAGCCCACAATGATACACTAGTTTAGGGTCATGGTTAAGTTCAACAAGTACTTGCTGCAGCAAGGTGAAACTATTAGAAAACTGTTAGCACCAACATCCTGAATAAAGCAATGCGAGAACTTTAGTAAGTTAAAACTACAATTATTGAAACTAGAGATGAATCATCTCATAGCAAGAAGGACAATGTGTAGACTAGTTACTGGAATGGCATAGGAAACTAAAATTATTCTTATAGTACATAATCATGGAATATATACAATATGACAGCATATTCAACGTACGTTATATGCTAAAAAATTTAGTTTTAAAGACGATCATCAGAGAAATCAACCTCCTGTTGACCTGGTGCAAGTGGACCTTTCAAGGCCTTCGCGATTAAGTCTCTAACTGCAGCTCCACGGCTAGTGTCAGCACACATGCCATAATCCCATAACAACTCATGATTACTATCAGGATTGAGCCACGCAAGCTGTACAAACAATTAGAGAAGAGTCAATTGTACGTCAAAACAATCAAAAATAGTCATTGGAAGTGACTTGCCTCTCCATCCAGCACTGGAAGCCTTGGCGGTTCTGGCCTGATCCACTGGGGATCCAAACCTTCTAGAGATAAGTATTGTAGCAACCCAGTAATACATGTATCTTTTCCTTCATAGCCTACTCTGGGTTTAGTTCCAGATGCTGGAGTGTTAAACCTGAATACAACGTTACTCAGAAAATACCTCAAAATAAACAAAAGCCCATAATAGCATGCCAATTATGATTGAACCAGACATACTCTGACAAACTTGAATCGCAACTATTAGGCATATCTGGGTCAGGGATAACATTTTTTACAGCAGCAGCCCTAAAAATACTGTTGTAAGGTTCGGGTTGAACTAAAGTGATATGCTGCTGCAGTTCTTCTCTCTGCAAAAGAGTCTGAGCCACCCAACAGAAAAGGAATTGGTCGAAATAATGAGACTTAAACTTCTACTGTGTAAAAGAAAAATGCTAAATCAGATGATAAAGAGAGCACAAACAACTCACACACAATGACGAATCAAATCCATTGATGTAATCTAAAACTGATTGCTTTAAAACCTGTTTGGGACAGAAAAACAAAGAGTTTGATGTTGTTAGAGCAAGTAAAAGAGCAGAGTAATATGTCCATTAAAATGAGGAGGGATATCTGAGGATGGTGGAATTTAGATATAATCAGTTCAAACTTCTTCAAGGAAAATTCAAGGAAAAAAAAATATTACGACTACAGTAGCATCTAGTAAAAAAACTGATGATACTTCCTTGAAGAAGTTCTAGAAGTTCTATTGCAAAGCAGCTTCATTCATAACCACAGCTGTACTGGACCAGAACCCTAACCACAGTACAAATATTTGTTACCCAAAGATTCTATGTGAGAAGATTAAAAATCGCTACTATGGTAAATAATTATTTGAGATTCAGCAAGGACATTTATGCAGTGAAGTTCATTCATTTTTCAAGGAGCTAGCCTTTTAAAATGTTTACAAGTCAACCACACCTATCAATATCAGAAAAAGTATAACAACATTCATTTTTCACCTACAAAATGAATTATGAAACAAGTTTCATTAGTTTAAAAGTGATTTAAGAGTCCAATAAATGTGTACTAAAAATGAGGACGAAATAAAAACCCACAAAAAGTTTGCCCATTTATTTCAAACATGAACAACCAGTTAAACTTTAAGACATTTGAGAGAGGCTACTCTATAAACATTACAATTGGTTAAAATGTTGAATCATCCATCAAAAATTTTTTTATCAAATAATAGATAATCAAATTATAATATAAACGTGTGGGAAGTAAAAGCCACTAGTTTTAATGATGTTAGAAGGAAGCAAAGTCTTGGCTTTACACTCACATTATAGTGAGGTAGTTTCCATGATTCAAGCCATCCAAGTTACGACGGAAACAAACTACATTTAATCTCCGCATTTTCCTAAGAATGGTACCGAGTCAAAAGAGGCACTTAACTGCTGATTGAATTATGCTTGATAGGCCATTTCAAGCCCAATAACATACCTTGCATTCAATCAGCAAAATAAGAGGCCAGCACGCCGATACAAGATCAGCCATCAAGAAGGCCCCACTATGATCAGTTCAATGACTCAGAAAGATTTGAACACAAGACTTACATAACAATTTCAAAAGTTCTTAGCAAGTAAAAAGCTAGCACCCGAAAAGTCAATGATTGATCTTAAAAATAAATAAGAGTTTAAAATGATTCAGTAGAGTTTTCCTAATGGAATGAAGAGCAAATGGCTCAACATCCTCTTAGAGCAGAGAGTTATGAGCACGTTAGTCTTCGACGAAAGAGTTCAGTTAGAGCATTTTACCTATCCCTAAAAGGCAATATTTCTAGAAGAGTGAAGGGTAGTTGGTACTTATTTGTGGATAAGCAATGGATGAAGATATTTTGATTTTGAGACTTGTGTTGGATAAAATGCCCTAACTAAAGGGTTTTTTGTCCTTCAAGCTAGTCAGAGGATTGAGAAACGAGACACTTCATATTTATGATCCATATGCATATGAGATCTTTAAGCTTCAAAATCCATATTGCAGAGAGCAAAATTATGTCATGGAATAGCTCTGAGATTGAAATTGATACTTCAAGATCTGTGCTTGATTTTATCAATTTGATCGAAGGGATCTTCACACATCTTGAAGTGATCCAATGACTGAGATTTACAGTTATCATGCCCAGGTTAGCTAATACTTTATAGCAAAAAATGTAATATCAATTGCCACTCTTTTTTGGTTGCTTGCAAAGAACTAAAATTAGAAGTTTAGCTTTAAAATTTTACAACCACAATCTCTCTCAAATTATTGAAGTGCATATTCTCTCGGAAATGTGGATTGAGATATCACAAGTTGATTCCATGAATATGAAGCTTCTTCTATAGATGATGTTTGAATAGTGTCACTCTAATTTGTTCGTTTGAGCTAGCTTATTCTAATGATGTATTGGAGTTGGTCAAAACTCGTACTTGATGGTAAAATTTGCAGCTTGTGACATTCAACAGACCACAAAGGTGTCCTTTTTGGGCCTTAGATTAATACATCAATTTTAGTTGTTCTTCTATTTAGGAAAAAAATGAAATTAGAAGGTTGCAATGGGACCAACACTTGCACTATCGCTAGCATAAGCATTTAACAAAGATGAAGAACCAGTTTGCAACTAACAAGGGTCATTGAATATTGCACACATTCTGAGCAAATTCTCCAACCACTATGATGATGTGCAATGCAACCGGTAACCAGCGTGCAGTCATGTGTTGTGTAGCTAGTATCTACCAACTATTGCATGGCTAGCTTAAAGCAACGAGACAGCTACATAACCATGCAGTTGTTTCTTATTCAATGGTTTTTGGCCCGTTGGGCAGCAAGCAAGATCATGATGTGGTTTTTATGGCCAATAGAAGAGGATTTTGAATGTTTCAAATAATCACACCTTCTTCACACATTTTCTTTTCATTGCTCCAAGATTTTGGCCCAAGTCAATTTCTTTTCCTTTTCTTCTTCTCCTCATTTTTAGCAAAGGTTTTTTAAAACCGCAATACCTTTAATCCAACTTCGCATTTAGATGTTACAAGGGTGAGGAAATTATAAAAAGATAGGAGAAACTTTGGCTTCATTTTTTTTAAAAAGTACTTGAAAGAAATCATGTATGGTAACTTGGGGTCTATTTGAGATAGTTTTATGAATACTTCACGTTTCAAACCGCCACCGCAACTCAATTTGAAGAATTGATTTTTTGCACCTTTCTAGAAATTTTTGTGACGAGAAGCTTTTTTTCAACCTTACAAGTTAAATTGTGATGGCTACAAGAAAGATAGTCATTATTTGATATTTTGGAAAAAATATATATTTATAATTCTCACCATAGCTTTCTAAGAAGTTATTTTCTCCGCCGCAGCTTTATAATCACTTTTATAAAAAGTTACAGCCACGCAAAAGTCGATTTGCTTAAACAATAAAAACATCAATAAGGGCATTTCCATATCATTAAAAACATGCCTATCTAATAGTGTCAATAAAGTTGACTAATTAGTCAAACAAGATATTAATTAGGGTAATAAGTGGTACTTATTGCATAATAAAATCCTAAATATTTAATTTGAGTTTAAACTTCAAACTTGTAATAAGGTTTGAAATAATTTTTCATTAGCTAAATATTTAAAATAATTAGAGATTAATTAAATTTTTTATTTAAGATTATTATGCTTTATTAAAAAAATAGCTCTAGGATAATAAATTAATTGATTGACTAGATGAAAAGAAGCTACATATACAAGATAGCAAATACCAAGGTAAGGCAAGTAGTGTGACCAACTAAGTAGTCATTTGTGTTGTTTGCTGAGAAGCAAGGAACTTAACTAACAAAGTTATGAAAGAGTTGTGGGTGACAAGTTTTTACGAGTAAGGAAATGTGAACAGACATAAGCATCGCTATTCTTTGTGTGGGAACAACTAATTTAGGCAACAAAGTCATAAAAATTGAATGGGCATTATATCCGTCTGTGAAGGTGCAGAGTAAGTGGCTACCTTAAGTGATGAAGCTGAATGAAAAGTCTGAATGTTATTTACCTATGTGAATAATGTATCTTTTAGAAGAATTGAATTGCTTGTTTCTCTTCATGATGGTCAGAGTTATGCCTTCAAGCTTGTGAGAAAGAAGTCCTTCCAAGATTATGAGAATAACCTGATCTTTAGGTTGCAAGCTATAATAAAACGTCTATGTAGACAGAAGTAAATTGGGTAATCTTTACATAACATGTTTAGCAGTAAGCATCCTTCACAAGTAATTCTGAAGACCTTTATAGCTGAGGATAACAATTCACTTTTCCTACTGAGCTTGATCATAGTCTAGCCCTTATTGATAACTGTTAATCAGAACTTTGTCAAACTGATTCCAATGGGGCTAAAACAAAAATCCTAAGTTTTATGAAGAAGCAGACATCTTGCTTATTCACTTAAACACCTAGGGCCCAATAATATGGAGTTCTGATTGAGCCCAAACAATAATAATGGCAGAGTAGTAAGCATTGAAGATTCATAATGGTATACTTGATGACGGCATTTAAGAAGTGGGATAGAAGCTTTGTAAAGAGGTGCATGAGTTGTGGCTTAGAGGCTATGTATCGTACTCGCGTCGAACACAAATCGGACACGACATGGCTCTGACACACCCCTACACTTGTTCGCCACTACAAAACATGTCTAAATTTTTTTTTGGACCCGGACATGTCCAAGACACACCTTGACAGGGTATCGAATAGGGCCTCAACATGATTTGAGAAAAAATGGGGCAGAGGAATATATGTGTAACCCTAATATATCTCTTAGTCAAAACTATCTCCCCTCTCATCATTTCGAAGCTCCCTCTAACATTCGTTAAAATCAAGCATCGAAGATGCACCCAATATTCATCAAAGACGAGTATTAGCAGTTCCCTCTTTGTTTGTCGAAGCCAAACATCAAAGGTCCATCCTGCATGTGGAAGCCGAGCATCGTAGTTCCATATTGTTCATCGAAGTCGAACCTACACCCGCTAAAGTGGAAGCCATAAGCTTCTTTGTCGCAAGCCGAGCAGAAGTCAAACATGTTTGTTGAAGTCGATTTAAATACCCACAAACTTTGAGATGCTCGTGTGAAAGCTTCTATTCGTCAAAATTTAAGTGGAGTCAAAGCTGCCCAAGTTTTGTAAGTGATAATTTGTATTTTTTTTACTTTTTCTTGAGTTAATAGTTATAAATATATACATTTATTCTAATTCTAAAAGTTAAGTTTTAATTTATTAATTGAACAAGGTGTAATTGTAGAATATTTTAAATTTTAGTAGAAATGCTAGAAGAATTCCTTTAAAACATAGTCTAATTTTGAAAATTGATTTTGTAAGCATGAGATTTCATAATACATTTTTTATTTACAAAACTAAATTTTGATCTTTGTATACTTTGTTTTGTAATGTCGATAGTAGAGATAGGGCTGAAAGAGCCGAGCTTGAGCAAGCTCGGGCTTGGCTCGTGTTCGGCTCGTTCAAAACTGCTCATGTTCGAAATCG